ATTTCCAGAATTTGACACAAAGATGTTTTTGTGAAGAATGCATTAATTTATTCTTCTTCAACAGAGTTAAGTATGCACAATTTAGGACCTCGGATTAAACAGAGAGAATAAAAAGGGTTTTGACTATCATATTAGTATTTTTTTTTTCTAAATCATTATCCTATGTTATTTATATCATATCCTTTGTTATCCTATCATGTCTTTAAAAAATGTGCGAAAAATCTCAGGAATAATCTTTTTTGTCCTGATAATAAAAAAAAATAATATATGAATATAATTGATTTCCATTCATACATCAAATTCTGCTTTCTGTGGATACTGATCCGATGTGCAATCACGTGATCATTGTATAAAGACATTCCCAATAAATACCAGATAGCAAAGCTGTCACAAACAAACATCATACAGGTAGAGATCTGGGGAAGTGCTGATCTGAAAAAGTGAGTACCTTTTGTTTTATTACATTTTTGCTTTACCTTTCAAACGAACGTTGAAAAAATGTCAAGAGAAACATTTTGTGTCTTGCCATAATTGGCTAAGACAGAGCCTTTTTTTAAATAAAAAAATGATTTGCATTGTTAAACTACAAAATTAAGGTTAATTTTTTCCCCTAATACATGTATATGCCATAAAATTCTTGCTAAACATAAACACGATAAAATTAGTCAATTAAATAGAATGCTACATAAATTAACCTAAGAAAGTTCTCGGATAAAGAAAATCCATATGCAGCGTAGATTTCATTTCATGTTGGAAACATCTACTTATAAGACTGCTGACAAATAGGTGATGTTACAGGGATTTCAAAAGCTTCATTTAAAGTTAGCACTTTCTAACTTCTAGGGTCGTTATAATGGACTTTTTAGTAAATATTATCCATTATTGTCAGATATTTCGACCTAGGATTTTGGAAGTTTTTGAGCAAAAATTTGCTTCATGGTAATATAAAAATAGATGTTTTAAATAGGAGTACAATAAGGACCCAGAATTTCAACAGTTCGAAAACTTACATATATGTTATCAATAAGGAATTCAAACTATCATCCTTTTACTATCAACATCAGGGTGATTTCAAACAGAGTAGTTTTGATAATGAACAATAATAAGATTTCCCATTTTCCGTTTCTATTTAAGAATGCCTACGATGTCAAAAAAAAAGTTTTTAATTTATCGCTAGGAATGATTTATAAAAGTATAGAAAATTCGTACTTTTTATGTTACTAACTTTCGAAAAGAAATTGTGGTTTTAAACATTCTAGAAGTTTTTTTCCCCCTTCAGATTTTAAGAATTATCAATTAGAATATTTTGCAGCACAGTATGACGATGTTTCCTCTTATCGGCAGATTATATAGTAACATTTCATTACTGGACCCATCGAATGATCTCTTAAAGGATTTTTTTTATTAATCCAATATAGGTAGACTTTAATCGAACGCACCTCGGTGTACTGGAATGTCAAATCATATAAGACTGGAAATCATTTTGACAAATTTCTTCCTTAGAAAGTAAAATGAGTTTATACTTTGGATTTCCAGATAAAGAATTAAAATTTACTGTTTCTTCTGAAATATAGGTATAATTTATAACTATGCGCATTCCAAACAAAGACGATATCGAGACTGCAAGTCTTGCCTGCTGGAACCCAATATGTTGTTTGTGAAGTCTTTTATTACCTCCGATTTTATGAAAAACAGAAGGAGAGATGATTTGCATCTTTCCTACAATTCTTAAATATACTCCAACAACACTTAACAGTCTACTTTGCAGTCTAGCAAAGAATTCAAGTCTTACCTTTCATATTTAGCCTATCGTCTGGTAATTTTTTTTTTAAATCATTTCGTCGCCGTTGGTAGAGCAGAGTTTTTTGTAGGGAGGTCCTTAATTGACGTCATTTTCAACTGTACATGCAAGTAGTATTCTCACCAGATAACGGCATATCAGTGTTGATTCAGCTCGATATATGGTAAATGCAAGACTGAATTAACTTTTTTTGATTGTTACTATTTATCTCAGCATATTATTTCCTTTTTTGGCAAAGAAGAAGGTACGGTCTCAATACAAATCTTGCCCTGTGATTTTCTTAAAAATTGAAACTGATGTAAAAAATGAAAACTCATGTATTCTGAGTCATTCAAATTCCATGCATAAAAATTATACAAATTATTTTTCTCACATGCATTTCTAAATAAAAAACATTTTCCCGTATATTCTTAAAATGTTGCAAAAATTTTCAATGGAATTTTCTTTCAGAAAAATTGTGGACGCCCACGAAGATTTTGAGATATGTTATTTTTCATTGTATTTTGAAAAAAAATATCCAAAAATTAAAGTGGGCGACGACTGTGAACACTATTTTCTAAAGGAGAATTCCCCTTGAAATGGGTCATTTTGAGGCTTTTTCTGTTTGAAATAGAGAAATGCATCAAATTTATATATTTCCATAATGGTACTCCTTCAGGCCATATTCATTCCTGATCTTTCACAGTTATAAATCCAACTAATATTTAAGCCAGTTTTTGAAAACATTCAATTTTTAAGGCACAATAAAGCTAAAACAATACCTTGAAGAGAAAGATTTTACTAGCCATATGTGCATGGTGACAATATAAAAGAACTAAAACAAATTTACTATTCCTATAACTTTCTAGATATTGAAAATGATTTTAATCTTTCTAAAAGATATAAGATATTTTTACATTACCATTTTGAACAAAATCATTAATTTTGCAAAATGTTACAATTATCTGAAGATTTTGGTCTTAGTCGTAAGTTCTTTTGTAAAACGGACCCCTGTGTTCTGCAACTTCCATAATTACAAACTAGTTAGTCATCTGCAGTTGAAGAAGCCAAATATGGACTTCCTTGGCTTTTTCAAATTGTCCATTCCAAAAATTGATCAACGACACGAACACAAAAAAATCGTTATAGATTAAATTCTAGGGAGCTCTGTCCCTTCAGTGATAAGAAAGTCTTTAAAAAGCAAAGAAATCGTAAAAAAAATTGCTCCACATCTAAAGTAATTTACATTGCTGAACTGAATTTGGGGTGTTGAAAACCAATTTATCTGAAATGAATCGGTTTAGCTGCGATACGTTATTTCAAAATAATGACATAAATAACCGAATTATTCAGTATTGTTAGATTGTATCTGTGTAATTTTTACAAGTTCATGTATATATTGTATATTGTATATATATGTAAATGTTGTGAAAAATAATCTAAAAAACTGATTAGTTGAATTGAACTGAATTAACTTCACACATATTTTATCGACATAATTTACAGCGCAACTGTTGCATGGGGATTACAAATATAAGCATCAGAAATAAAACGCATTTGACAACTTGACCATGCAGTTTGACACAGTTGAACAAAATTTTTTCGAACACTTTTTAAACAAAAAAATGCAACAGGTATGCAGGGGTTTCAAGAATGAAATAAAGAAGTAACTAACATTAATCGAGCTTAAAAAACTGAAATAAAACAAATTGCCCTAGAATAAGTTTGAAAAACGTCAGTCACTGTCTGCATTCAGTCTCATTTTAGAAATTATCCGTACGTAGAGCCTGTTCTTGCATTATCTGTGGTATCATTTTAAAGTTTACTGGAATATTTCGAGTCGACATACGAATGGGTCGGCCGTGTTGATGCATTGGTAAGATCGTTGCTTTACATTTCCGAAGTAATGAGTTGGTCCTTACCTCAGAGGTCCGAATCCCACTCCGGAATGTTGAGAGAGACCCTTTGGATGAGACCGTTTAAACCAAGGTCTCATGTCGCGGTAGGTACAGGCACAAAGATTCTTTACCGCTCAATAGCCCTTTGTGGCGGGTAAAGGTCTTAATTAATTTGCAGTCCTCCACCGGAAACTCGTAGTGTCTCAGCATGAGTGAAAATTTTCGAAAAGGACAAGAGGTGAACAAAAAACAAACTACTACATCTGTAGTACTGTATTTACGTCGTCGATATGTCGAGGTGAAAACCAAAGCAAGTGTTCTCCTCTTATGTATATCATTTTGAATAATTTTTGCTCCAGGTGGATACGAAAAGGAAATTTTCAAATAACGAAATCATATTCCTGATCCCATGGCCTTTAAACTTTAATAAACGTCCCGCTACTGTATACAAGAGATTTTTTGCATCCTTTTCATATTCGCAACTAACTGGTGGGATTCCAATGGGAACTGATTGTGCTCCTTTATTAGCTGGCCTGTTTTTATACTACTAGGAAGCATTTTTTTCCGAACACATCTATATGATAATAAAACACTCGTGGCATTCAACTCAACATTAAGATATATCGACTATTGTCAATCAAGTACTTTTATTCATATTTTGATTTGATATATCCCACTGAACTTGAAATAAAAGACACCATAGAGTCTGACACATCTAAAGTCCCCCCTTACGGAGTTTTACATTTGAAAGTGGACATTATAGAATCGTTGTACAAGACAAAGGACAAACCCTTTGTTTATCGATACACAGACATTCATTATATGATGGAAATACTCGTTATATTTGATCTTACAATTCTTTAGGAAAACTGGGCATAAAAGAAACTGAAGTAGAAAATTTTGAATAATAATAATGAGTGATTGATTATCAGAAAGAGCTCTGGGAAATTTAAGGTACGACGTGGTCATAAGTATATACAGATCCATTTATTGTATACACAGAGGTTATTAATTAAAAGTAGTGAAAGCATAATGGTATCAAAGTTTTCTAGTTTTAAAGGCCATTGCCAAATTAAGTAATATATATAACAATGTTTTCGACAATTTTTGTCTATCCATAATCATGGAAATCATGGTTAATCGTGAATTATTTCGGATCAAATCTAGAATGCTGCACATGTAAAACTCTTTTTAAATCATGTTAAAACTATAGACCACAGTTAAAAATGAGTGAAAAAATGAGATACAGTGTACTTTCCACAGGAGTGATTCAAGCTGAATTTCATTAAAATATTTTTTACAAAATTTTTATACAAACTGACTTTAACATAGATCATTCCTTTTTACAGAACACAAAATAATGAATGAGACAAATGACCTGGTGTATGCTCCCACGAGCGGGATTTCTAGTACCATCCAGTTCATCTCGACATTTCCTATCGTTCTATCTATATTCATTATCGCTGGAAATAGTATGGTTATTGGTGCCTGCAATCACTTCTCCAATAAGAAAAGCAATACACTCGCCTTTATTCTTCATCTATCCATCGCAGACGTGGCGACAGGGATTGGAATGGTCTTCAATGTGATCATGAGAATCCATGGCAACATATTGTTTTACAAAATTCCATGTCTACTCTCCTTTGAAATTTTCTTCACAATGGCCTTAATATCCGTGAACCTGCTGGCTTGCACGACATTTGACCGTTTTCTTTCCATCTGTAAGCGTGAAAAACACCAGGCGTGGAATACTGGCAAATCGGTGAAAGCTCAGATTTGCTGCTCCTACTTCCTTGGAGTCATAATTGGCCTCTTGCCATTTTTAGGGTTTAACCAATGGAAAAGCGGAATGAAATGCAATTTTAAGGACCTATACCCCCCAGAATTGTATCTGGTAAAGTCCTCCTTTATGTTTCTTGGATTTGGAGCCAGTTTTTTCCTTTACATCTTCATTTTACGAAAAGCCTGGCAGGTACAAAGCGGAAGACATTTTCAAGTTTCACGGACTGCCGCCATGAGGCAAAGAAATGGATTCCTTCTTGCTAAATTGGTCGGCATTGTTACTATATTGAATACCATTTGTTGGATGCCTTATTCCTTAGTTACGTTCATGTTTGGGATAACTTATCAGGCCGTCAGTGCCAAGTATCTGGACTTTGCTTTCTTGCTTCTAGGGTTTACGAACTCTTTGATCAACCCTGTGATTTATGCATGGAACAGGCAAGACTTCCGTGCAGTTTGGCGAAAATGGTTCCGTTGCAGAACGGAGGTAAAGAACGTTAACTCACATCCACGTCGTGCGATATTTGTGACAAGTGCTGTTTCTACGGAAAATAACACTCAGCAAAAACAACTGACATCTACTAACCAATGAAATACCTTGCCGTTTACATTGTTGAAATACTGATATCATGAAAATAATGTTTAGAGACCTTCTCCCCTATCTGGACCTTGATTTAAATGAGTACTTGAGCCGGTATAGTTATTGAAAACATAAATGTGTACCATGAACTTGACTGAAGGTCAAAATGTCAGAATCCTGTGTCGATAGTCATGAGAACAACTGGAAAAATGTTTGTCTTAAGAAAATTTATATAGGATCTCCCATGGTTCGTGGTTGTATGTATATGATTTTCAATTCAACTCATTACAATAAGTTGAATTAAAATGATATATGACCACAGACCATATGAGATTCTGTTTTGTTTTACACATAGCTATACGATGTTTTAAACTGTTTTATAATTTATATGTATATCCATGATATTTGACATGAAAACAAGGACGACGATATATAACCACTGAACAAGGGAGTTATTATTTGATAAAAGTTGTTATTGAACTGAATTAAATATTCATATTGTCATAGTATTGTCTTGGTAATCAAAAATGAGTGCATGTTGTTAATTAAATATGTTTAAAATAAGTTAGTTTTTTAATTAATCATTTTCTAAGTTGTCAAGTCAAGAAATCAAAAACATTTTATGATAATAACTAACAATTAACAAAAGTTAACTTCTAATCAGATTTAACCCAATATATCCCAGTGATCTTGAGATAAAAGACACCACAGAGTCTGTCTCGTCAGTTTCATATTTTTATGATTTAGTGGCTATAAACGATAAGGGCCAACTAACACCAGCATTGTGTGACAAACGAAATGACTAATTAGCTTTTTTCATCGACCACTTTCCTTATTAACGTAATAATATTCCGTTCTCACCTGCAAATTGTGTTTTCGACTCCCAGTTATTCGAAACTCAAGAGTATTGCTCTAAATGTCATCAATTTTTTAAGCCGAGACAGGCTTATGGCACGCCAAATTCACAAAAATGACCTAAACCTAGTTTCACAATTGAAAAACTAGGTTTATCGACTGTAAACTATAGTTTACAAATCGTAAACTATAGTTAACGATCCGTTAAGTATAGTCATCTGTAAAACTATATTTAACGGTTGTTAATTATAGTTTACGAATGCTAATCTAAGTTTTATACACAACATGACAAAAGGTAAAGGTTTAGATTTATTAAAATGAACACATCACATAATAAATCAAAAAACACTATGTACAACACAAGGTTGAGTACAAATAAATTAAAAACAAATACTGTTATAAAAATACATTACAAAAAACTTTGGCATCTTGGGGGCTGCTCTCTGAATTAAATACATAGATTAAAATATAACCTGGGGGGAGCCCAGCAGGTTATTAGTTGTTATCCCAGAACCTGGGGAGAGCCCAGCAGGTTCCAAATTAAAATTACCTGGGGGGAGCCCAGCAGGCAATCATCGATACCGAACAAAGCAATATTTTTTGGTTGTAGTCAATCAACCTGGGGGGAGCCCAGCAGGTTGATAATAATATAAGTACCTGGGGGGAGCCCGGCAGGTTACTAAATGTGAACTAAAAGCATGGTACTAATACAGTAGGTATTTCAATCAACCTGGGGGGAGCCCAGCAGGTTGCTAATAATTTAAGTAGTTAAAGTACCTGGGGGGAGCCCGGCAGGTTACTTAAATGTGAACTTAAAGCATGGTAAAAATATATTAGGTATTTTGTGTGTTGAGTACACAATTTGTAAACTTTAATAATAAAGCTTCAATGAGCATTTTGCTTATTTGAATTTGGGGGTAGAAAAATTCCAAATACATGGGAATTTTAATATACATGGGAATTTTAATGTCCTATAATTTAATGTCCAAATTTATTAATATTAAAATAATTCAAATAAAGCAGCCCCTTTAAAACAGTTGATGATATAAACAGTGATTGAAGTACAATATTAAAACAAAGATAATGATGTACATCATAACAATAATGAGATACATGTTACAATTTTACAATTTTTAAAGATGCAATGTCAAACAGATATATGTTAGTACTTATAAAACAGGAGATGAAGGGGTGGTGGGTGGGATGACCAATTTAAAGGTACAATACTAAACACTTCGATTACAAAAGACAGACTGAGATAGCGTCCCTTTCCGCACTTCTGATTGGTTCCATCGATCACGTGGTTTTGTTTATAAACATCCCAGGCACATGTCTACTGATTACGTCAACAGTTAAGTAACATAGTTGTGTATAAACAAAAATTACATAAATTTACATTTTATACACAACATGACAAAAGGTAAAGGTTTAGATTTATTAAAATGAACACATCACATAATAAATCAAAAAACACTATGTACAACACAAGGTTGAGTACAAATAAATTAAAAACAAATACTGTTATAAAAATACATTACAAAAAACTTTGGCATCTTGGGGGCTGCTCTCTGAATTAAATACATAGATTAAAATATAACCTGGGGGGAGCCCAGCAGGTTATTAGTTGTTATCCCAGAACCTGGGGAGAGCCCAGCAGGTTCCAAATTAAAATTACCTGGGGGGAGCCCAGCAGGCAATCATCGATACCGAACAAAGCAATATTTTTTGGTTGTAGTCAATCAACCTGGGGGGAGCCCAGCAGGTTGATAATAATATAAGTACCTGGGGGGAGCCCGGCAGGTTACTAAATGTGAACTAAAAGCATGGTACTAATACAGTAGGTATTTCAATCAACCTGGGGGGAGCCCAGCAGGTTGCTAATAATTTAAGTAGTTAAAGTACCTGGGGGGAGCCCGGCAGGTTACTTAAATGTGAACTTAAAGCATGGTAAAAATATATTAGGTATTTTGTGTGTTGAGTACACAATTTGTAAACTTTAATAATAAAGCTTCAATGAGCATTTTGCTTATTTGAATTTGGGGGTAGAAAAATTCCAAATACATGGGAATTTTAATGTCCAAAATGAACGAGTTTTAAAATTGTTAAAAAGAGTGAGAGCCCCCAAAGAAATAGACACCAAAACCAATACACTGTACATTATTTTACAATACCGATCTAACAAATGGAAAAATTTACATTTATCTGTCTTTGATAAAAGGTTAAGAATAGATTTTGTTGATAAACATAGATTCACGTCTGTTAACTATAGTTTACGATCGTTAACTATAGTTAAGAGTTGTAAATCATAGTTTACAAATCGTGAGACTGTATTTATTAGATAATCTATGTTTTGCGATCGCAAATGATGGTTTTCAGTGTTAAGTATAGTTAACAGTTGTGAAACACAGATTATCGCGTTA